CATCACACTCCTTGTCTTGTGAATGACACTCCTTGTCGTATAACACCCTATCCCATCACACTCCTTGTCGTATGAACACTCTTTCAAATCACACTCCTTGTCGTATGAACACCCTATCCCATCACACTCCTTGTCGTATGAACACTCTATCCCATCACACTCCTTGTCGTATGAACACTCTATCCCATCACACTTCCGTGTCGTATGGTTCTCCCAACTCACCCTACTCTCTGATTGTACGCCATCGCTAGGCCCAAAAGCAAAGACAACAAGCGCAAAAGGACCAGCAGGCCAAGGCTAACAAGCAGAAGGAACAGAACCAATGGGCCAAGCAAAGGGTGTGTGCGTGTGCGTGTGCGTGTGCGTGTGGGTAGATGATTCATTCTGTGGCGTATAACGTTATGAAGCAAAGGGTGTGTGCGTGTGAATATGCGTGTGCGTGTGCGTGTGCGTGGGTGATTTATGTCTGTGCCGTATTGTATGCTCATGTCATATGCTTCGGTGCCTTGTCAGTGTCAGTGCAACCTGTTGTAGTCACAAAATGTCACTTGGTAGTCTGTGTAATAGTGGCGTGTGGTGTTTAAAGGTGTAGCATGTACTGCATCTACTCTCAGACACACAACGGGCCTGTACGTTGCGAACAGGCTAGTTGGTGTGTGCAGTTGTACGTTGGTCTTAGTACGATTACCGTCCTGTATAGATATACTCAGGTGTATGTCTACAGATGTGTGTGTGTTAGATATACTCAGGTGTATGTCTACAGGCGTGCGTGTGTGTGTGTGGACTAAAATCTTCTCACGCTTCTATTACTCAAGTCTTTTACAGTTCTTATCCGAATTATTCTGTACACATATAGCGTAGTCGTCTCATATATCTATATTTAGATCTCTATACACACACTCGCCCTACCTGAACAGGTGCAGTAGTGAAGTTCTGTGCCCGTTATATATATATACTTTGCCAACTTGCCCACCTCTGCAGGCGAGTGCACCTTCGGCCGGCCCCTCAACCGGAGCTCCTGCGGTGGAATTCGGAGGGTTTGGTGATCTGTTGGGTATGCACAACTTCACACCCACCGAAAAGGACAAGCCACTGCAGTCCATGAATGACCTGCGAGAAGTGGTATGCGATGGGGTTGTGGTGTTTTAGGGTTTTAGTGTTGGGTTGGGTGGGTTGGAAGACAGAAAGACTGGTAATATATGCGAGGAGTGGTATGGGATGGGGTTGTGGTGTGGTGTTGGGTTGGGTTGGGTTGTGTGGGTTAGAAGTTAGAAGTTAGAAAGACTGGTACTTTTAAATTAGGTGAGATCTGCTCGATTCTATCCCGCTGGGCTTAAAGAGGGACCCGTGCTGCTGTCGCACTGGTTGCGCCATCGTTGTTGGTAGTCAAAAAAACTACAGTTTTTATTGTGTGTGAACAGAGTATACGAAGTCTCATTCTCCTCTGTATATTCTGCCGAGGGCCTCTCCCCCACAACTACCACTTACAGCTGTAGATGGGGGAGCACAGTATGCATATCTGTGTCTGTGTCTCTGATGTATATGTATATATATATATATATATAACGACGCTTACTTGTAGTCAATCACAGCGCGATATTCAGGGTCTACTATTGTCCTCGTAGTTTCTGCTCTCGCATTTTCCATTAGACTTGATTCCCCGTGTCAGTAGCTGCCCAATTTGACGCACTTTTGTACCCGATTATCTAATCGCATTTCGCTGTTCAATCTTTTTTAACATCGGCAGGAAATCATGAAAAACGACGAGGACGGGACTTCGACAACTAGACTCCAGGTGTGTTTTGTGTTCTGTGTTTTATGTTTTGTGTTTGTGTTTGTGTTTTGTGTTGTGTTTGGTGTTTTGTGTTTGTGTTTTGGGGATTTTAGGGGCAAGAGTATTCTCCCACTATGAGGTAGATTGTATTATTGGATCGTGTGTCTACCGTCTTACAACACTGTGGGGTAGATTGTATTATTGGATCGTGTGTCTACCGTCTTACAACACTGAGGTAGATTGTATTATTTGATCGTGTGTCTACCGTCTTACAACACTGTGAGGTAGATTATATTATTGGATCGTGTGTCTACCGTCAAACAACACTGTGAGGTAGATTCTATTCGTGTCTACCGTCTCACAACACTGTGAGGTAGATTATATTATTTGATAGTGTGTCTACCGTCTCACAACACTGTGAGGAAGATTGTATTATTTGATCGCGTGTCTACCGTCTTACAATAGCTGCGCCGCTGATTCCGTGCGCCACAAATGCCGCTGTGAGGTAGATTCTATTATTTGATCGCGTGTCTACCGTCTCACAACACTGTGAGGTAGATTATATTATTTGATAGTGTGTCTACCGTCTCACAACACTGTAAGGTAGATTGTATTATTTGATCGCGTGTCTACCGTCTTACAATAGCTGCGCCGCTGATTCCGTGCGCCACAAATGCCGCTGCTCAAAGGCTACACACCGGACATGGGCGTGTGTAAAATGGAAGCGATACTTAATTTGTGTCTGTGTGTGCGTGTGTGTGCGTGTGTCTGTGTGTCTGCGTGTGTATGTATACATGTATATATGTATATATGTATATATATATATATATGGTGTGTGTATGTTTGTATATATATATATATATATATGCCGTCTCAATGCTTCGTACGATTTCACCAGGTGGGTAAGTGGACCAATGGAAAGACCGGAAACATCCGAGCTCTGATCTCCACTCTTCCGGAGATTCTGTGGGAGGGAGTGGAGTGGGAGCCGATTGGCATTGACAAGATGCTGAAACCCGTAGGCGTTAAACGCTCGTTCATGAAGGCCTGCTTAGTGGTACACCCAGACAAGGTATGTTCTTGTGTGCATGTGTCTCAGTAGTGCACCCAGACATTGTATGTTCTTGTATGCATGTGTCTTAGTAGTACACCCAGACAAGGTATGTTCTGTATGCGTGTGTCCTTATCGTCGTATCCCGTTGTCGTTCATTTTCTTTTCAATCTATCTTCTCAGTCTTGCACCCCAAGATAGTACGAATCCCATACCATGCATTGCTTTGTGGTCGCTCCGATAAAGGGTTTCTAGTGTGTAGGGTTTAGCCCTGAACTGCTGCTCCTGTCCTGTCGTTTTGGTTATGTTGTACGTATGTTTTTCATGTGTGCCTGTCTGCAGGCTTGCACTGTTGGTGTCCAATAGCTTGCACTACATTCGATTGTACGGTTTGAAATACTTAAGTGATTGTCACCAATCAACTCCCATCTCCCTCACATAGGGGGAGGTCTCGTGGGTGAGCAATTAATATCAGACCGTTGTGTGAGGACTATCACCACAGCTGAGCTATTTAAATGTGTTGTGGGACTTTATATATATATGTATGTGTTCTGTCATGTGTTCGCTATGCAATATCCAAATGTGTTGAATATCTATATTCATTCGCTATCATGTGTATCTACCTACCAGAATACTACGGATTGTAGTATTGTTAAAACGGATTGCGGTATCGTACATTGTGTCTTCGCTGTTGCATGATGGGGTGCGGTGTTGAGAAGTGTATTTGGTACACGCCGAACAAGAGTACCAATTTCGCAGATGATTGGTAAACAAAAGTACCAATCTCGCAGATGATTGGTAAACAAGAGTACCAATCTCGCAGATGATTGTTAAACAAGAGTACCAACCCCGCAGATGATTGGTAAACAAGAGTACCAATCTCGCATATGATTAGCTACACCTCTATGACTGATCGAAAGGCCTCATGCATTGTGTGTGTATCGTGCTACCAAAACGTTGAGCAACACATCGTGTGTATCATTCTATAACCGATAGATAGGGCACATCTATATCACTCACAAAGCATATAGTAGTCTTAGTTAGAGTGTCTATAAAACGCACAAAGCATGTAGTAGTCTTAGTTGAGTGTCTATAAAACACACAAAGCATATAGTAATCTTAGTTAGAGTGCCTATAAAGTCCATGTTTGGTCGAGTACATATCGTACTCAAAAGTAAGTTGCGTTCGTGAAAATAGTCGTGATGTCTAAATTGAGATTTGTGTGCCCACGCGTTAACGACGCCATGTGCCTCTACGGCTGAGTCGCGCGTGTTGTTCTCTGTCTTTTACACATATATACGACCTTTTACATTTAGACGCATCTCATTGGTCAAGATGAACAATACAGTCCATGTTTAGACGTTTTTATTGGTTGAACTGAACTGAACTGGAATGAATGAAATGAAACAAAGGTATACATGCGGATGACGATATATATAGGCCACCAATCCGCGCGTAGTATTGATTGATTTTTCTTCTCTTTTTGCGTGTATTTAGGTACAAGATGGAGAGAATGAGTATTTAGCAAGTTTGATCTTCGACGAATTGAACAAAGCTTGGACAGGTACTATCCCAATGAAGATACGCTCAGACTCCATAAATGTATTTCTATTGGTCCTTGTTGGTGTCTGTGTGTGTATGTTTACTGTTCTTATGTTTGCATATTTGTGTACGTGTATTTGTACTGCTGTTGTGTGTGCATATTTGTGTGCGTGTGTTTTTTACTACTGTTGTGTGTGCATATTTGTGTGCGTGTATTTGTACTGCTGTTGTGTGTGCATATTTGTGTGCGTATATTTGTACTGCTTTTGTGTGTGCATATTTGTGTGCGTGTATTTTTTACTGCTGTTGTGTGTGCGTGTTTGTGTGCGTGTATTTTTTACTGCTGTTGTGTATGCGTGTTTGTGTGCGTGTATTTGTACTGCTGTTGTGTGTGTATATTTGTGTGCGTGTATTTGTACTGCTGTTGTGTGTGCGTGTATTTTTCACTGCTGTTGTGTGTGCGTGTTTGTGTGCGTGTACAACTACGGTACACAGTTCAGCAGCGATCACTTCTTCCGGTCCAGGCGGCGTTGGTTTCCTTCGTGTATCTATGAGCAATATTGGTTTAGTACAGTAGCCGTTTATCCCTCGCTGCTTAAAGCATACCATCTCTGCATGTTCGATATGTTCCAGGCGGAGTTAGGATATTCACATCCCGATGTTCGTATTGATTTTCTTATTATTATTATTATAATTATAGTCTCACTGAGTGGGTAACGTAAATGAGTCTCCACTCACATTCTGTTTTTATCTCCTATGCGCAGCGTTCAAGGAGGCGGGTTCTCCCGGGTTGATCTGATTCGTTCGAAAGGAGTCACCCCTCGGCATAATTTTAGTGAAACAGACGCCCGATTGAAATTATCGGCTTTTTTTGTGCATGGCGTGGGCTTCGAATAAATAGAGAACTTATAGTGAGGAATGATTATATCTTCATATTATGACCATTTGAATTGGGCTACGAATAAATTAAAGAACTGATAGTGAGAAATGATTATCCCTTCGGATTTCAACCACTTCGGTGACCTCTGATCACCGTTGGTTGAACTACTTGTGGCCTACATAGCTTATTGAGTGTTGACATAGTACTCTTTCACTTTATCAATATTAATATTAATAAATGTGTAGAACGATACACGAACCGTTTAAACCGCAACTGGACGGTAATCGGTATCATTCATATTGTGCCAAACCACTTTCATTAGCAAGGATCCGATCTCAACTAGTTGTATTTGCGGCTAACACCGTACTGGATATTGGATGAGTCTAATATATATGGCTACTGAAGCAGGCGTATATAGCTGAATGTGCAGCACTTCAAAAGTATGATCACCCCATCACTGTCTAGTTCGTCTTAGGTTAATAATATTAATTAGTACCATTTAGTTCAGTTGCCTACTCGTGTGGTCGTGTTCTCATTGCGGATAGCGATGCCAATTTGTGCCAAAGTCAAATGAATTAAATAATTAATAGATATTAAACTGTTTATTTCAAATCTAAACATAATCCGCTTGGCCCAGTGGTAAGGCGTTCGCCTTCGAAGATTTAGTTCAGTTGCCTACTCGTGTGGTCGTGTTCTCATTGCGGATAGCGATGCCAATTTGTGCCAAAGTCAAATGAATTAAATAATTAATAGATATTAAACTGTTTATTTCAAATCTAAACATAATCCGCTTGGCCCAGTGGTAAGGCGTTCGCCTTCGAAGCGAAAGACCGCGAGTTCGATCCTCGCAGTGGAAAATTTATTTTCCTTTTTTTTAGATTAGCTGTTTTTCAAATTTTCTTCTTCAAGTCCCTAACGGTGTGGAAGATGATAAGTTCAGTCTGCTCAAATCCCGGTGATATTGTGGACCTGTATAATCCTGCAGTATAGCTTGGTCCCCACAACAGTCACCTTGTCATGTGTGTGTCTAGATCGTACATAGTGCAGGTATACGCGAGTTGTGCTTGTGATTTTACAGTATATCTAGGTCGGAGTACTAGGCTCTGAAGAATTTTTACGACAATTGGAACATATAAACAGACCTGTGTAAAAAAGTTGTATTATTGGTCGTTTTCATATCAAACCGGGAGACGCACGGCTTATGCCTGGCCATTCAATAGGTATTCATATACATATGTCGTTACAATGTATTTATGGTATTTCTTATGCCATTACAAGTTAAGTTCATGAAGGATGACAACTACAATAATCACGCCAATGATGACAAGACCGTGAGTTTTAGTGAGGTGACAAAGCGCGCAGCATCGTATCACATGGATGTCGGAACGCGAAATATTCTAATTCACATGGAGATCGAATCTTGTATAATGGCTGGTAGATCGAGTTGGATGAAGGCGATAGAAAACACAAACTAGTCTAATGGAAAAGACCATAGAGTCTGCCAAAAACACATGATGGTGAAGTATATACGGTGAGGAACAAGATTAGTTTCATGACTAATTATGCGATTACAATGATCTGGGATCAATACATTATCGTACAGGTAAATGAGAGACAAAAACGAGAAACACAAATAAAACAGGAAATTCAGAACTACTAGTTAACTCTTGTGAGACGTACTAGCGAACGGATAACGGGTATCCCAGCGAAGATGTCACGACGATAGGGTAACAATGCACGATCTTGAAACTATAATTTAAAATGGTGAAACGAGCTTTGGAGGATTGTTTGAAAGACATTTTGACATACAAATTGTGAAATCGAACAATCATATCATTGAAACAATCGTTGGAAGCAGAAAATCACGACTGAAAGTTAAAACTGCTAGCCTCGACCGTGAAACAGTAATAGTAATAAACCAGTTGAATATGAGCGGTGCATCACGAGTTCTTCGATATGACTATCAATAAACACCATAATAAGGTGTTAAACCTCAGATATGATTAAATTGCGAACAAAGACATTCGAAGCAGCCATATATCGATTAGAACAACTTGGCGAACATTATAACAGGCAAGACGCTGTCATTCCGGGATTCAATCATGCTGTTGTCTGCGTACATCCGCCATATTCTAAAGAAAGGTATATGTTATTTCATGAACTCAATAAATCTCATTTTGTCTATGCTCCTGTAATCCGAACTCATTCTATATAGCTTTATATAAATTCTTCATAACTTGTCCGGGCTTGGGTGTACACAACAGTATCAAATATACTTAAAGGTGCAGTACGGTACTAATCAGTTACTTTCGCCATCCAATAAATGATCTCATGAATTATTTATGTATATATTGAAAAAATAAACCCCGATAGTGAACAAGCTACGTTTGTTCTTTGTACACAGATGCCTTCAATCTTGATCTGCAGCGCTTTTCTTGAGTCAGTACGTATGAACATGCTTTTGGGATGTCCGGTGCGGCTCTGTGTATTTTAAATCGAGGTCTCTAAATGCACGTTGGATGTGTGTCAAATTATTTGATGTACATTCACCGCATTCAAATTTGTAAACGTACTGAAATATGAATCAAAAATGTTCTAATGTACATTTGGAGACAAATCCACTGCATTAATATACATTCACTGACCTTTTTTTGTACAAATTCGCTTTAAATTTGAACTAAAGTCTTCGGCTATATGTATTCTTTTAAACAGATAAATATGTGCGGGATGGTTTTGCTTTTTTATTAGTTGGCATTGGTATATGCCACTTCATTCGAACTTACCTCAATGTCTGGTGCGCAACTTGCGTGGTCTGTGATGTTCTTATGCGGGAACGTGCGATGATAAAGTTTCATATATATTTTTTGATTATGTGATGTCGGACACTTGTGTCGTGGTCGTGTAAACACGATGCCTGATAACATGTCATCCATCGTACTATATCCAAACTGTTCATCAGCTCTAGCAAAATTTAGTATACCAATTAAAATAGTAGCTGTAGCATTTGATTTGTCCAGTGTAGCAGTCGCTAAATTCCCTTGTGCTTTCATATACTTCCACGGGGAAAGGATCATCCGGATTTCCTACCATTTGTCGCAATATCCTCTCAATCTGTTCACTTCAGTGATACTGATGTACATGGACTTATAGAAGTATCGTAGAAGCTTATTGATTACTGGTTCACAGCATTCTAATATGATACTTTCCTGCAAAATCTAGTCGCCGATAGGAACCGACTGCGAATCTGCCGTGCGCTTATCGCTACACTGGTATCTCTTTTCGCGGGAAGGCTGTTCCTACTGTTTATAGTAGAAGGCGATGCTCACTTTCTCGACAGTTTTCGATAAATATTTTTCCTAGCCAACAACACTTTCGACTTACCAAGTGTCTTATTTTCGTGTTTTAGTCTTGCGTTGCGGGTTGCGGTCAATCTCCTCTCATTGTACCCGATGCATGTTTTGTTTCATGTTCTGATTCCCCTGGCAGTCTGATTCCCCTGGCAGTTAACTGTTATTTTTTGGGTTGGAAATTGGGGATTAATCAATACTTTAGTCTAATACAGCACTGACCTTCTTCGTATAAAGAAATATCAATGATGCCTAGTGATATCGTATTTTCTTCAAAATTTGTAAAACACACCTCGTCGTGTAGTTATTGTCGTTGTCGTTACAAGCGGTCGTTTTCATTTGACTTGCTGTGGATTTCTTATCTGCACTGGTGGAAAAAGAGCCGGTCAACAAGTAGTGTATAAACTTTTGTCAGTGATCGTACCACAAGATTCATAAATATAATTATAGTCTTTGAAATAACTTCACTATCAGAGAAAGCAGTATGAAGAACATACTTGCACTGGTTTTCGTGTCATTACGAATTGTCCGTCTGTTTAAGTGTAGACTGGCACAGACGTATTGATATCTGTGACAGGGCAAATTAAACTACATATGGAAGTCAGACTTTGCAGAGAATCGTTCAAACAAACTCGATACGGCACACTGATTGTTTTACTATAGAAAAGCCTGCTTATACACAAACACCATTGAAATGGTCGAGTGAGTAGATATTAAAACAACCTTCTATTTATCATATGCATCAATATATTTAGTGAGAGATACAAGCTGAGAATCTTTCAAATAAACTCGATACGGCACACTGAATGTTTTACTATAGAAAAGTTAGCTTATACACAAACACCATTGAAATGGTCGAGTGAGTCGATTTTAAAACAACCTTCTATTTTTCAAATTGCTTGATAATTGACGTATAGCATCTTCCTTGTTGTGTTCTCCATCAATCGCCTTTTCCCATTGCGGTAGCAGGTTTCCAGTAAACATGGAAGCGTCTTGCTATTTCCCTGCGCATTTATTTTCGTTTTAAAACACGATCTTACAAAAAGAATCCTAATATTTTCATCAGTATCAAACCAAAATTTATTGGAACCGAGTAGACACACATGACCGATGACGTTAATAGTCGTGGCACTTCAGTCGTTGACATCTATCGCTAGGATAAATCCTTAACGGTGACGCTGCTTTTATCCACTGAGCACATATTCGTTGGGCTTTTTTTAGGGTCTGAGCGTTTGAGCGTTTGGTATATTGATTATTTGCGATTTCAACATCTAAACATTGATTACACATCATAATACAAGCAGCGATTTCTATATAACAATCACGAACGACAATAATCCTCATTTTGGATTCTCGTGATCTTCGATCAACTTTTGTATGATCCAGTTCTACAGTTAATACGAACTGTTTTAGGGTTTTTTGAGCGGGAACGCCACTCAGAATGCATACGGGTTGGTTTATATGCTGAAGAATACGCACAAAATCGAAAACAACTAAATCACATAATCGCCATCGCAGGTGTTGATGTTATAACCATTGTCATAACCAATTCCCCCACCCTTCGTTGTCATCCTCTTGAGTATAGGGTTCCCAGTACAGTGATGGGACAATATGCGATTTGAGAGTTTCTCCACATTAAAATAAATCAACACAATTATTTACATTTGAGATAATTTTTTGTATCGTTTCTTCGGGCGACACGCCAGTCTCGGGGTAGGACAGAAAAGCAAGTGCTGCTCAATATTTTCAAAGTGAAAGGATATCGCTTGTTCCATTGAGTATGTTTCCATCCAAAACAATT